ACAGGTACAGATGGCTTGCCAAACCAGATATTTCTTTGCGAACTTTGACAGTTTCATGTGCTTGAAAACATCTGCTACCTTTCCCCTTCCTTTTGCCGTATAAAACTCCTGTCCCGGAAGCTGCTTGTAGTCGGCTTTGACGTAGGTTTCGTCGTCCATTACCACGCAGTCAAACTTCGTCAGCATCGTCGTGTACAGCCTCCGGGATCGCGCTTTGGCCGTCGTATTTTGTTTATCATCGCGATTTGGAGTCACTACCTTCTTGTAAGTCGATAGTCCGGCTCGTTTTTTGGCTCAATGCACGGTTGTAGACGATACACCCAGCTTATTTGCGGCATCTCGGAGAGAGAGGTTAGGGTTTCGCTTGAAACTACCGGCAACTCTCTTTGTCGTCTCAGCGGCTTCCGGTTTTCGATTTCCCCCCGATCCAGACTTCCTGGTTGTCGACAAACGTTCCCCAAACACTTTAATTACATTTGTAACGGTTGATTTGGCAACTTTTAGCGATTTTGCCAACTTTGCGTGCGAGTAGCTCGGATTTTCGCGATGCGCGAGCAAAATTTTGATACGCTGCTCTTCTTGCTTGAACGGCATTTTGACAACTGAAGAGTGAATTCCAAAATCAAAATAGGAGCAACATTCTACACACACACACCTTCAAAATGAGGGGTGTTCAGGTTTTTTAAATGCAAAATTGAAAGAAATACGTCAAGTTGATATTGACCAAATTTTGACCGTATCACCCTTTAAGGAATTTTAGACTTCATGTGAAGCCTAAGATAGTAAACTCCAAGCGAATTTTCATGAGAAATCTCCCTTGAATATGGAATGGACTATTCTGAGGTCTTCAAAACTACTTGAAAGTTTCTAAAATATTCCTGAAGTTACTTAAATTGCTTTGAAGTTCTTTTGCAGTTTGAGAAACTAACCTGATGCTCACAATACTTCTCATTTTTTTTTTAACTTCTTTAAACCTTTTCTAACTTCCTAAAGTTTCCACAATTTTCCTACCGATCATGAATCTTCTCTTAAATTCTACAAATTCACTGAATTTTTCGAAACTTTTTAAAAATTTATGTAATTTTCCTGCTCTGGAATATTTTTGCTCTGAGGATATCTGTTCTTTCTTGAAGTTTTTTTGTTTAGAGCTTTATTAGCGAGATCAATATCTTTCTCGAAGTTCTCGAAACTTCTCTTAAGTGTTTACAGTTTTCATGAAGCTTGTTGTACTACCGTGAATTCAATTGAACTGTTCTGAAAATGTTTAAGCTTGCGTGAACTTCTGGGCTTACATATGTGAAAACCTCAATATTTTTCTTACCATGTCTAAAGTTCTCTGAAAATCTGGGAACTTCTTGAAATTTCCCGCTAATTTAATGAAACTAATGGAACTGAACTCCCCTGAAATTTTCTTTGTTTTTGGAGCTTTATTAAACTTATTTGAGATGCTCCCGAAATGTCCATAAAAGTTCCTGAAGTTCTCGGATCTTCCCTTAAGTTCCATAGACTTTAATGAAGTTCTCGGAATGTTTCTGAAGATCTCTGTACTTCTGTGAAGTTTTCGAAGTTATTCTGAAATTACAGGAACTTCTTTAAGCTTCCGCAGCGAACTAATTAATATAGCTCTATGATTTTCACTGAAGTTCTCAAGATTTGCCTAAAGTTCAAATTATCAAAACCACAATTTTACTGGAATTAATTTAATCGCTTATAAGTTCTACAATTTTAAGTTTTATAAAGTTTATAAACGCTCACGGAACTTTGCACTAAATCACTAATTTTCCCTGGAAGCCTGGGCACCCCAGAAGTTTCCTATGCTTACGTTTATTTCTCTAAATTGATCAAATTTTCTGATATATATTTATAATTCGCTGAAGCTTCTAAAGTTTTTGGATCAATCATAGAATTTTCGGAATATCCCATAACTCTAAGGACCTCCTTGTAAGTCACTGAAAATTTCCTTAAATTAATGTGATTTTTCTGTTCTTATTTGATCGTCCTCGAAGTACTCGGAGCTTCACTGAATATAATGAAACAATCTAAAAATATCTAAATTTCTTACAAGTTTTCTGGAATTTCTTGAAAATATCGGTGCTTGCTAAAAGTTTTTGCATTTTTTTTTAATTAATGGAACTCCGTTGATGTTCTCTAATCAACTTAGCTAAATTTTCGAAATTTTTTAGATCTTAAAATTTCTATGATATTACAGCCTTGAAATACTCTTACATTTTCCGGATGTAAATATAATTTTTAATGCGTTCCAGAACTTTACTTTGAGCAAACTGAAGTTTCCGGAGATTCCCGGAAATTTTCTTGAAACCTTCGTTGATTTTTTTTTTTAACTGCCCTTTAATTCTATGATCTGTCTTGATGTTCTCGGAGCTTCCCTAAAGCTCTCAATTCTAATGAAGATCGCGGTTCTGCTTTAAAATAAATGGAATTCTCGTGAACACCTTTAGACCTGACTTGCTAAAATAAAGCAAAGTTTGTTTCTTTAAAACTGATTGTCATGTCTTAAAAACCGTTTGTGTTAGGGGAAACGCTCCTATAGTTGCGGTACGTTAGACGCGTTAGTTTCCTATAGTTGTGCATGGAGACTCAAGACACAACTATAGGAACCTAGCGCTTCGAACGTACCGCAACTATAGGAGCGTTTATCCTAATTGTTGTTGTTTTACAGAAAAAAAAAAAACATATTTTAAACGCATTTCATAAATAGCTTTCTTATTATAAACTTGGAAATTATCCGCCAAAGTTATAGAAAATGAGTGGACACATAGAGAAAGATGCTTAAACGTCAAAAAACTCTATACAAGGTCGTCAACTTCGAATTGTTCAAAAATTAGAACAAAGTCGAAGACAACATATCAAGAAGACTGGCAACTCTTCCATTTTCTCGTACGAACGCTATGAGGCAGGTACAATTGCGTCATCTGCCGCTCAAAAGTAAATGCTTCGAACGAATTTGATAGCAAAAATTACACCCTCAGAAGAAAGGCTTGTGTACTAGCTCATTTTTCTATGCGTTGCTTCCACCTTCGCTGAAGTGCAGCTATACTGTATCTGTCACTTGGATTCTGGCAAAGTTACCAGTCTACTTGATATGATAACTTCGACAAAATGTAGGCCTATCCTACACACTGCAAGAAGAATGATCAATCTTGAAATAAATTAACGTTAAAAAAAAAAGTTTAAAATAGTGACTGATTACAAGAAAAAGTGACTTTAGTGACTTGGTCTTATAAAAGGAGACTTTTTAGTATCTTCCTTGAAAAAAGTGACCCCCAATCTTAGATACATAGGCCAACATTAGATCCATTTCCCCTATTAATCGGTATTTACTGTTATAATTAATGTTATATTTTTGCCGTTTTTGAAGGCAAAATTCAAACTTTTGGACAAAGCATGGTAAATTTGCATTCCAGGAGAAGTCGGTGAAGTGTTTCAATAAGCTTTTGAAGGAAGCCGAAAAAAACTTCCAGAGAAAGAATAAAAAAGCTCTAAAGAAGGTTGAAGAAAGTTCTAAGAAAAGTCGGAAAAACAACCGGGGCACTTCCAAGACAAATATTGAGAAACTTCTGGCGAAAATTTTAAGGAACATTCTGAAGAAATCAGATGACACATCTTGAGGAAACCAAAAAAGATTCGCAAGTCGGAAACAATTTCCAGGAGTAGCCATTTCCAGCAGACGCCAGAAGAAACTCAGAAAAAGCTTCCAATAGAAGTCGGAAAAACCTTCGCAGAATGGCTTCGAGAGGAAAACGAAAGGAACTTTTGGGAGATTTCTATAGATACATTCGGTAGAAGGTTAATTGAAGACGGAAGAAACTTCTTAATGTAGATTGGAAGAAACTTCTGGAGGATGTCGGAAGTCAGAGGGCTTACGAAACAGTCGAAATAAACTTCAAGGAGAAGTTTTAAGAAATTCCCTAAGCTTCTTTAAAGTTTCAGTAAATTTTAATTAAATTAATTCTTTCTGATGTTCTCATAGCTTCCCCAAAAGTTCTCTAAATTATCCTGAAATAAATGGAACTGCCCTGAAAACCCTTAAATTTCCCTAAAGTTCTTTGGACTTGTGAAATTTCGAAAATATTGAATGAATTTTGTTGAAATTTTATTTTATTTTTTTATTTTTTATGAAGATGTTTTTAGAAGCATCATACTTTTGACATGTCATCAAATAGTTCAAATTGCCAAATGTTCGAGGCAGCGGGATACAATTTTAAGTCTTGACCCAACCCGTCTGTATTCACGAATGTCAGAATAAGCTTTTTGAACTCTTTACAATCATATCAAGAATGAATTTTCAAATAGCCGTATCTACTTTTGTAAACAAAGATTCAACAAAATATGCAAATTCACTCTTGATATACCTAGGTCTAATTTTAATTTCATATTATCGCACGTAAAACAAGTATAACTTATTGTTCAATAAATTGTCTTTTCGTGTGAATGCGCGACGTTTTCTTCAAACGATAAACACACAAAAAGACACTAGATAGACAATATCCCATCTACCAACTCACGTATCGAGCGCTGGAAGAATCATTTAAACATAGTCATCATTGAAGCTGGGCTTTAAATCGATAGTTTTAAGATCACCAAGAACTTGGGAAGCGTATAAATTACTTAGCAGTCCAATGTAAATTTCTAGAACCAATACATCCTTCATCAGTCCTCTTGTGTTCGAGCACTAATCCTAAAATTACAATTACGCAAAGGGGTATCAAAGAATTTTACTGCAAAGCAAAGAGTAAAAGCTACGTCGGTATCTTTTTGAGCAAATCGATAATTTTAAGACTTCCAACTAACAATTCATTCCTATTTAGAAACCTAAAACAATTTGCTGTGAACAATGTGAGATTGCATAATACGGGTGAGGGCAGATTTTTTTTAGATAGTTTCGTATCCCGCAGAATTGATTCCCATTAAAACAACAACATCAACCAGCTCCTGCGTATCAAACAAAAGAACAACACATTAAAAACAAAAACACTTACCAGCGGCAAAATGCAGCGGAGTAGATTTCCTCCCAGCGGTGTCCCGGGCGTTGACGGTTTGTGACGTGATGAGCTTCTTCACCTTGACCAGATCGCCCGTTTTGCACGCCTCGAACAGATCCCGCAGGGGATCGTTGGCCATCGCGGCCGCTTCCAGATTCACCGAAAGCATCGAGCGACTGTTGTTGTTGTTGTTGTTGCAAGTGCTGCCGCCACCACTGGATGACTGGATTGTCGTTAGATGATGTCCAGTCGCCGAGGAGGACATTTCCCACAGACCAATATCAGACGGTTCCAGCTTTGCTGCCCTTGTTCCGGAACCCGGACTCCACGCACATCGGGAACTGGGTGTGTATGATGGAAAGAAAAAATCACAATGTTCTTCGCTTTTGACGGGCTTCAACCAACCCCCCACTTCTCGACTCGGTAACTCTTTTCCTTCACTTCTTTACCTCTCGACGGAGAAAGACACCCCCATATAACGATCACAATCGACCACAACTGGTGCACAATTTTTCGGGAATCACACTCTCCAGATCTCTCTCACTGGAGTTCCGTTAGTTTTACAGCACCGTTTCGAGGGTGGAAAAATCACGAAAAAGATGGAAACAATTTCTTGCCTCACTCCTTCTCTATTTCAACACTCGTCTCGAGAGCTCACTGAAACGCCATTACGATGCAATCAATTTGCTGGGTCAGGTGCCCCACATTCCACGGATTAACGCCAAACTCCTGCCGCAAAACTCTCGCAGCACCAATTTTCTGCGGAAACCTTATCGCGATGAAAATTTTGCCACCATTGGACACTGTTGGATGACGGTAGAAAAATCAACACACCAACTTCAGACACGAAAGAGGGTCAAATCAACAACGAATGAATCGTCGACACCTTTTTTCTTCTTTCTGCACCCACTGCGGAAATTTTCCTTATTGGCGAGGTTTTCTTCGCTTTTTCGACCGGAAACCGTACCCGAAACCACCGGAGGACGAGTGCACTACGCGCGGCTCGATCGATCCAAGTCGAATCGCGACTTCCCGATCGGAATCCACGGAAATTGACTCACTTATTCGCGGACACAAACTTTCCGTCCCGTCCCGTCCGTCCGTGAAAAGACAAAAAAAAAACTTGGCTCTTTCAGCAGTCGACGATGATGATGGCCTCCTCACTGCTGCTGCTGTGGTAACTGTCTGTCAGTGGTTTATTTTTCTTCCCACAGCAGCGCACCAGTGCAAAGAGTGCACCGTTTCACAAACACCAACAAGCGTGAACGCCTGTTTGTTTTCAAATTTAGCATGCGAGCACGAACACAACCGAAAATTAACACGAGTGACAGCTGACAGATGAGGCAAATGTCACACGCCAAAAGGAAAATTAGACTAGTTTTAAATTAGTCTAAATCGTTTTAGACGAGTAATGCACCCAGATCAGAGCGTGCAAAAAGCAGAATCGTCATTATTTATTTTCCTTATTTTCGGTCACTCGCATGAAATACGCTACACTCAAAATTTGATGATTGGGCTTTTAATACTTGAGCTGCTTTTTTTTTTTTCTTTGCTGTGTCCTGAATGTTGGACGGCTCAGACCGATCACGGTCCATCTCGCCACTCTTGTTGTCTTGTTTGTAGATTATATGGTTGCTTCGGTTAATTGTGTGTTGTCGCTTGTGATTCATAAACGTATTTTTATTTGTTTGATGAATTAGACTACTTCTTTTAGTTCGAGCTCATTGTTTTCCTTCAGAATGATGTTCAGTGGTTTGCAGTACTCCAGTACAGTGTACTCGGATCTCTCGATATTGTATTTTGTGCAGTGGTAGAGCAAGTGTTCTAGATCTTCTTTTTCGTCGCATAGGTCACAGTTGTCGTCTTCTTCCCAACCCCATTTGTATCTTCTTTCTTTGGTGTTGGTGTGTCCTGTCCTTATCCGGTTCAGGATGATGATTTCTTCGGAGTTAAGATCTAGTCCTTGAAACCAAATCTTTTGTCCTGGTTCTTCCATAAACCCAAAATGCCAGATGCCTTTTTCTGTTGATGTGATCTGGTATTCCGATTTCCAGTCTTCCCATGTATCAGTTTTTCCAAGATTGATTGCGTCCGAGAGGGTCAGTGTGTTGAATGTTGTTTGTGGACCGTGTGTAGCTTGAACGGCTTCTTGGTCAGCTTTTTCATTTCCTGGGATGCCCTGGTGGCTGGGTATCCACTGAAGGATGATCTTGATGCCCTTGCTGTCCTGGAGCGATTTTGTGATTTCCCAGGCAAGGTAATTCTCTATCGTCTTCGTCTTGTTGCATATGGTCTGGCAGGCTCCACGGGAATCAGTGAAGATAACAGCTTTCTGATATCGTTTCTTCTTGGCGATTTCGATGGCAATGAGTACCGCCAGCAGTTCTGCATTGGTGATTGAAAAATTGGGGTTGACCTTCTCTGTAACAATTTGTTGGTCTGTGCAGTCTACAACTGCTAGGGCTGTGCCCGTTGCCGTCTTCGAGGCGTCCGTGTAGATGTGGTTGAAATCTTGGTAGTGCTGGTTTTTGGCTTCCAGAATTTTTTTTCTCCAGAATTCTTGACTGTAGCCTTCCTTCTTTTTTTGCTCTTCGAAGAGCTTTTCTTTGATATTTCTGGCAACGTTGAAGTCAGAGTACTTTCTTCTGTCCTGGAAAGCCATGTTGGGATCCTTAGGATGCATTTGGCAAACGATATAGTTGTGTTTTGCGGCCGTTTCCGAGAGGAACGATCCGTTGCCCGGGGTGTCTTCGATTGCTTTCACGATGAACGGCTGAAGCTGCCTGCCATGGAAGGTGTTTTTCAGGATTTCCTTGAGGGTGAGCCAGTCCCTACGAATATCCAGTGGCAGCTGCCCAGTTTCTGCGTGAATGACATGGATGGGTGTGGTCTTGAGGAGACGCATTGCTATCCGGAGGTAGGAGTTCTGAACAGTCTGTAGTTTTTGCAGGTTGGATTTGGCTGCGTTGCCATAAATGTGAGCTCCGTATTCCAATCTGCTTCTTATTATGGCATTTCCGACCTTAACTAGAGTATTCGGATTGGCGTTGCTGTTTCTCTTTCCTAGCATTTTGATAATTCCCAGTTTTGCCCCTGCTTTTTCTCGAACATCCTCGATGTGTTTTCTGTGCGAGAGGCTCCTGTCTAAGGTGTACCCCAGATACCGATGGGTGTTGTTTAGCTTTACGTTTTCCTGACCTATTTTTACTCTCACTCCCCTCGTGTCCTTTCTTGTGAAGGCAATTGCTGCGCACTTGGCTACATTGATCCTGAGGTCCAGGGACTCTAGGCCGAGACAGAGTTTGGAGAGGTAGGTGTTGGCTTTCTCGGAAGCTTCGTCAGGGTTGCTTGCTACAACTATCACCGCAAAGTCGTCAGCGAACTGGACGAGTTCGCAATCTTCCTCGGTGATATCGTGGAGCTCCTTCCTGTAGAGGTTGAATAGGATGGGCGAGAGTGGACAGCCTTGTCAGTCCTTCACTCACTTCCCTGTAGACGTCTCCTTCATTCGTTTTGAGGACCAATCTTCGGTGGCTGAGGTAGGTGTGCAGCCAGGAGATGAGCTTGTTAGGGATTTCTAGGTTTTGTAGGGAATTCAGCAGCTTTCGCAGGTTCACCGAGTCGAAGGCTTGGGACATGTCTAGAAAGACAACTATGGGATGTTTTCTATCTTGTTGCACGTCCTTGATCCTGTTTACGACGTAGTTCACGCTGCTTTGGACGGAGCAGTTCTTTCGAAAACCGAAGGATTGAGGGGGATGCAGATTCTTTATTTCGGCGATTTCTGCCAGCCTACTGTTGACAGCAGAGTTAATGAGTTTGAGGTTGACGTTCATGAGAGATATGGGGCGACTGGAGGCTGGGTTAAGAGGATCTCCTTTATGTTTAGGAATGGGTTTAATTAGCGTCGTTCTCCATCTTTCCGGGATTCTTTCGGTGACGAACACTTCGTTCAGCATTTCGCACACCTTGATTTGCATGTCTTGTCTTAGGTTTTTTAGTATGCCATATGACATGCCGTCTTCTCCTGGGGCAGAATGGGGTTTCTTTCTCCGAAGGGCTCCTAATGTTTCTTCAATCGCCAGTGCCATCTCGTAGCCTCCTAGCTCTGTGGCAGTTTCCACTATAGGTTTGTATACTGTCTTCAGCTTGTGGTCGTAGTAGTGTGCCATGAATTGTTCGGCGTCGTCCAGGGTGATTTCCGGTTTTCGTCCTACAGGTTGAGTTAGCGCTGTGTCCAATCCCTTGATTATGTTCCAGAGCTGTTTTGTGGGGGTGGATTCGTCTACTGCCTCGGCGAGTTCCCGGCAATAGGCTCTCTTTGCCTTCCGGATGAGTCTTTTCAGCACCGCCCTTGCTCTCTGGAGGTTGATATAGTTGGTTGCTGTTTTGAGCCTGTTGTATTCCCTTAATATGCCTCGCTTGGTCTTGTAGGCTTCTTCGATCTCCTTTGTCCACCATCGCTTAAGGTAGTTGCCCTTTTTGTCCCTGACTACGAAGCTGGCTTCTTCACAGCTCTCCTCGAAGATCGATTGCATTTCCTCTGGATTGTAGATGAATTGAGGTTTAAGCTGGTTTATTAGCTCTGCTGCCTTGGATTTGTTGATTCGGATCATTTTGCCAGGTACGACCGGGATCTCACTTCCCTAATAAAAAATAACCATAAACGAACGATAACCCAAATCATTGAACTATTCCACAAATGGTTTGGATGATACCCAGTACACGTCGTTAAGCAAATTAACCATACAATTTTTATTAGGGTTCCTATTTCGATCTGAATGGATAGATGATTGCTTCCAAACTCTTGAGGGACGACCTCCCAGGTAGTTTTAATGGCTAGACCACTAGTGGCCATGGAAAGGTCAATCGCTGAGCTATTCCTATGGACCGTAGTCATGCAGGTTGGGGAACCATCGTTCAGAAGAATGAATCTTGACGAACCCAAAATGCTATTGATGAGGTTGCCCTTCGGACAGTTGGCCGATGAGAAATCCCAAGAATGATGGTGGCCGTTGAAGTCCCCTCCAATCAGCACTTCTCCTCTCATATGTTCCGCGACTTCGAAGAATTCCTGGATTTTTGTTTTTGTTTCACTAGAAACACTTTGTCCCGGGGGAACGTAGACCGAGATAAGAGAAATAGGGTCAAATCCTTTGATAATTTTGATTCCGACCACTTCGACCGGGAGGAGGCCTTCCAGATCCAATCTTTCGTAGTCGAGGCTATTTTGTATCAGGATGCCAACCCCGCCGTATCCTTGGTTTCTCCTGGTGGATTCTAGTTTATAGCGAGCGAGTATGAACGGTTCTTCTTTTTTTAGCCATATCTCCTGCAACAGGGCTACCTTGATGGAATTCTCCGTAAGGTAGTGACTGAGTTCTTCTCGGGTTTCTGTCGGGCGAAGGCTCTGGACATTGTGTTGCAGGATTTTTAGCTTCTTACACTCCACTGTGGTTGCTCTGGTTGGTTCTAAGGTGATCTGTTGTTGTGAGGATGTCGCTTTCCATGATTTCCTGTAGGTCGCTGCCAATCTCTATTAGCAGGTGGTCCCTGTCTAGTTCCGAATCGACTTGCTGTATCCTTTGGGCTATTTTGAGTTGTAGGTTTCTCAGCCCTATTAGCCACCGTTTGGCTCGTGCTACCACCAGGAACTCTTGTCTCAACCAAGCGATTACCTTCTCGAATTCCGTTGCTTTATGCGGGTTTGCCAGGCATCTTAGGCAGGGTTCTCTAAGTGGGGTGATCCAAGGTTGGGACGAGGTTTCAACCGAGTTTTGTCCGTCTCGGCTCATCCTTCTGGACCTGGGAGGGCCGGCACCTGTTCGGTGGGTGTTGCTTCGTTCTTCGCTGCGCTGGTCTACCTGTTCTCCATCTTCGAGTCTTGGGAAGGACTCTTCTTCCAGACCCTCAAGCAGGCTAAAGCGATTTTCCAACCATGGAAAATGGGATTCTGCTTGTTTGAAAGATATCTGTTTCTCTTTCATCGCCTGGTGAATGTTGTGGCGCCGCTGTTTTTCTGGGCATTGTGGGTCTTCTGCTTTGTGGTTTCGTTTGCAGTTCGGGCATTTTGCCGCCCTATTGCAGTCCGTTGTTGCGTGGCTCTCCCCGCAGGACCCGCAGCGTGTGCGAGACGTACAATATTTGGCCCCATGACCAAATCTCCAGCAATTCTTGCACTGTCGAACCGGGAAGATGTACA